GTATTAGGAAAGATATTAAATGTTGTATTTGTATAAAACTTCAGAATCTTTTCAGGGTTTCTAATGAGAAAATTGTGCTTGCTTCTATGAACATAAATTTTTAAACAGGTTTATCCATGAAATAAGAATATACAAGTGGGTGTTATATGTAAGTGATGAATCACTAAATTCTACACTTGAAACCAATTTTACCATATATATTAACTAATTAGAATTTAAATAAAAACCTGAAATCAGAAAAAATATACTATTCCTGACCCAGACTTTTAGATGATGTTTTCTTCAAATTGAGTTCTCATTGAAATTTTGTTTAGCTGAGTAGGTAATTAAAACAAAACAAAACATTTTTGTTGTATAACTGTTCAATAATTTGTAACAATTGAAAATATTTTTAGAGAATTTAAAAGCATTTCTCTGAAAATGTAATGAATTTTTTTTGTGATAAAATGAAAGGAGTTCAATAAGACTTTGTAACTACAAGTGTTTAAAATGACAAAACTCTTTTTGTCATTTTAAATGACAAAAATGAAAAAGCAAATGCTTTTTCAGAAAGCATGTGCATTGTTTGAGCAGTCACCTTGCAGCTAGATTTATGCCATTAAAAAGGCATATCACCGGCAAGTGGGAGGAAGTACCTGCCACTTGTGAACATAGAGCTTTCAGGCCATTACTTGGAACCTTGCTCACTAGGAGATTCTGTGCTCTGCCCCTCCTCACAGCAGCCGCTGCTCCCTGTACTGCACGGCTTGCATTTGGGGCACCTAGAATACAGACTCTTCCAACAGTTCCTTGGACCTGCCTACTCTGATGAGCACCGGTGCCTTCTACACTTGTCTGGGGAAGTAGATTTCCAGGGGGTCCTGCACTGCCCTCTTCACAGTTGACAAATAACTGCAGAGTAGCATGTGCAGGCGCTGTCCTCTGGGGAGCACCACACGAGGCTGCCTGCATCTGATGGTGATGGGCCCAGCATCTCTGAATTCTCCAGGGTTTTCTTAGGTGCCCCAAGGACTGAGGGAAACAATATTTGAGGATACGTTGGTCAGAAAGCTCTGCCCTATGCCACAGAAAGAAAATTTCTGTGAGCTTTGTGGAGATGTTTTATTTTTTTAAAAATATTTTCTAAGGTTATTAATTTTGAGAGAGAGAGAGTGTAAGAGGGGGAAGAGCAGAGAGCAAGGGAGAGAGAGAATCCTAAGCAGGTTCACACTGTAAGCACACAACCTGATGCAGGGCTCGAACCCACAACTGTGAGATCATGACCTGAGCCAAAATCGAGTCAGACGCTTAACCAACTGAGCCACCCAGGTGCCCCAAGATGTTTTAGATAGACAATTGTGAACATTTAGCTCATGTAGAACAATCTAAATGTGAAATTCATGGTTTTGATATTAGTCCTAGAATGGAAAATAAATTTATTTGTGCAAGAAATCAGTCACGATAAGGCCAGATTATGCTGTAGTAACAACCTGAAAATTTCAGCAGCCTAAAACAGCAAAGTTGCTTTCCTGCTTAAGCTACATATCCATTACAGGTTAATAAGGAGATTTTATTCATTGTAATTTCAGACTCCATCAGACTTGACTGATGGAGACTCCAGCTCAGCATATATTTCCACAATCACAGAAATAGGAACCACATTCTGGCTTTTAAAGCTTTTTAAAGCTTTATATTTCACTGGCCAAAGTAAATGACATGGTCATGCCTCCCATTCAGTAGGAGAGTGGTATGTAATTCTCCTTCAGGGAGGGGCAGTAAGTATTTGTGAATGGCTGACACATGCAATTTATAGTCCCAGGAGTTAACATTAAATGTGGCAATAGTTGTTGAAAAACTGTACAGGATCTTTGTACCTAAAGTTCTCAAAGCAACTAAAACTTAAAGGATTTGGGGTGTCTGGGTGGCTCAGTCGGTTAAGCGTCTGACTTTGGCTCAGGTCATGATCTCACGGTTCCTGAGTTCATGCCCTCCATAGGGCTTTCTGCTGTCAGTGTGGAGTACACTTCAGATCCCTTGTCCCCCCCTCTCTCTCTGCCTCTCCCCAGCACCCGCTCTCTCTCTCTCTCAAAAATAAACAAGCTTTTTTTTAAAAAAAGATTTTAACGTGGCATGTTAAAGTTGAAGCAGTATTAATGCTTTCCATAGTGTTTTTGAGTCTTGAACTTCTTTTTCATTTTGTAATATAGTATATTCTCCCATGTAGTAACTTAATTCTCATGCTTACAGCAAAGATTAAGTCTAATAATATGTCGTAATTGGGGCGCCTGGGTAGCTCAGTCGGTTAAGCATCCGACTTAGGCTCAGGTCATGATCTCGCAGTTTGTGAGTTCGAGCCCCGCGTCGGGCTCTGTGCTGACAGCTCAGAGCCTGCAGCCTGCTTCAGATTCTTTGTCTCCCCTTCTCTCTGCCCCTCCCATGCTCATGCTCTGTCTCTGTTTCTCAATAACAAATAAACGTTAAAAAAATATAAAAATATGTCATAATTTATCAGTGTGATGCCATCTCTATATGTCATGGTATTCAATCTTAATTTGCATATTTTTGGGTATAGGAGCAATAAGTATTAACATGGTTTTATAATAAAAATACTCTGATTTAGTAGCTACTAGGTAGCATCTTCAAATATCAGCTCTTTTTTTTTTTTTTTTTTTTTTTTTTTTTTTTTTTTTTTTTTTTTTTTTAATTTTTGTGCATTGTTTCACAAAAAAATTGAAAGCTTTCCAAATAATTTTCCAGATTCTTAGGTTAAGATGGAAGTTTGAATGCATGCTTCTCATTTTCGTTCCCTCATGAAAACATATAAACTATAGTGTGTGGTTAGCTTTCAAAATGGACCTCAGTGATTCTCACTTCTAGTATTTGTACTTTTGCGTAGTCCTCTACCATACTGAATAGGGGGGAACCTGTGGAAAAAATAGGATATTTTGGAAATGACAGTAGCTGGTTTGGATATGAGTACTGTGCCTCCAGATAGACATGTTAAAACTGTAAAGACAAGCAAATGAATAACACGAAAATTAGGATAATTATCTCTGGACAGGGTGAGTTGGATGCTATTGGGGAGAGGCACAAGGTGAGTTAACATTCTGTTAATCTTAGTGCTGGGTAACTGGAATGTTCATTTATTTAAAAAAATTTTTTTACTGAGTTGTGTACTTGATACATTTCAAAATAAAAATGAACAAATTTCTTAATTTCACAATCTATTAAGAAAATGTGGTTCTGGGGCGCCTGGATGGCACAGTCGGTTAAG